CTTTTTTCCTTTTTCCAACTTTCTGTCTAAAATTGAAAAAAGGAAAACGTTTCCAAAAAACTTCCCTTTTTTTTGACTCCATTAGTAGACGTTATTGGGGAAAAAAAGGCATTTTTTTTGGAAAATTTTAAAAACTTACAGAAAAATTTGAATAGAAACAGGCAAGAATCTTTTTTTTGCTTTCATTCAGATATTCTATTGTTTTGATTCCTTATCAAGTAATATTTAACTAGCAGAGAAGTTGTTTTTTTTTTTTGTAAACACCCATTTTCTAGTTCATCTCAATAGTTTTTAAAAAGTTTTAGCTGAATATCTTTTTGTTTACATTCAATTCTTTAAAGAAAAGTATCTTTTTGAGTCAGATGATCAAAAAAGTGAAAATATTTAGTTAAAAAGGTGAGTAGCTAGAGAAAAATCGTGATTGGAGTAGGCTAATTTCTGCAATTTCTTTTGCGAAACAGGGTCATTTGCGCAACTCGCCATAACTTTCTTCTAAGTCGGCCAATCTTTATGATTTTGGTTTCATTTTGTAGATCTCAACAAGGGCAATAAAATGAAACCAAAAACATGAAGATTGGCCCATTTAGAAGAGAGTTATGATGAGTTGCGCAAAAAAATTGGCGTAAAGTAGCCACCCCTACTAAATTCTTCTTAAAACCTTATAAATTCTTGCTTTAGTACGATTGCCACCACTCATATGGAGCCAACTGACGCTCGTCGCATGGTGCCCTGTTTTGATTAAACCGAATTTGCACTTAGTCTTACTTAGTTGCACTTATTGAGATCTACAAAATGAAACCAAAATCATAAAGATTGGCCGACTTAGAAGAAAGTTATGATGGCGATTGCGCAAACGATCCAGTTGCGCAAAAAAAAGAATTTATAAGGTTTTAAGAAGAATTTAGTAGGGGTGGCTACTTTACGCCAAATTTTTTGCGCAACTCATCATAACTCTCTTCTAAATGAAACCAAAAACATGAAGATTGGCCATCTTCATGTTTTTGGTTTCATTTTATTGCCCTTGTTGAGATCTACAAAATGAAACCAAAATCATAAAGATTGGCCGACTTAGAAGAAAGTTATGGTGAGTGGCGCAAATGATTCAATTGCGCAAAAAAATTTTGACGCAAAGACCGATTTTTTTCTCTTTTCTCTAAATAGAAAGAAAAAGGACGCGTTTTAGCAACGCGACAACTTTCAGCCTACGGTAGAATGTCCACAAAAACATTTTTATACAGTTTTGCTTTGATGTCAAAGCATTCCATTGACGATACAAAATCTAGATATATGCAAGTGAATATTGTTGGGCGTGATTCAAGAAACCTTTTGAATTCAATCGTTTCTTCATAGCTAATCAATCGTTTTTTCCATCCCTACAACAGTTTACCATTTTCAATATGCGAATTTGCAAAAAAAAAACTGCTGTTTTTCTGCTTTTGACCTTTATTTTCAAGAAACCCACCCCATTTTCGTTTATTTCCCTTTTTCTGATCTCATTTTCAAACGTTTCCGATTTCTCAAAATAACAGGTGAATTTTCTTCTGCAAATTCGCAAAAAAAAGTACGTCATTTTTGCTAGATTTTGCCTAGAAAAAGAAAAATTTTAAATATTTAAGAATATTTTAAGGATATTTTAAGAAAATTTTCCGAAATTGATCATTTTTTTTTGAAAGTTCACCTGGTTGAGGCTTTTTTGAATGTCACTTTTTTGCGAAATGAAAAATGTTCCTTGTTTTTTAGTTGAATATGTTTTTATTATTGTTCTTTTTTAAAATGACTATTTCTATTTTTTAAGGAAAGAAATGACAGAAGAGAGTAATTGCTCAACGATTCAAAAGTTACAATTTGAATCCGTCGATTTGCCATTTATACAGGTAAATTTGTAGAAAAATTTTTTAATGGTTTAACATTTTGATCGTTTTCGTGTCCTTGTGATCAAAGATTTGTAGAAGCACCTAGTAGAAGATTTGTAGATCATAGTAGCACCTAGTAGAAGATTTGTAGATCATAGTAGCACCTAGTAGAAGATTTGTAGTTCATAGTAGCACCTAGTAGAAGATTTGTAGATCATAGTAGCACCTAGTAGAAGATTTGTAGATCATAGTAGCACCTAGTAGAAGATTTATAGTTCATAGTAGCACCTAGTAGAAGATTTGTAGATCATAGTAGCACCTAGTAGAAGATTTATAGTTCATAGTAGCACCTAGTAGAAGATTTGTAGATCATAGTAGCACCTAGTAGAAGATTTGTAGTTCATAGTAGCACCTAGTAGAAGATTTGTAGATCATAGTAGCACCTAGTAGAAGATTTGTAGTTCATAGTAGCACCTAGTAGAAGATTTGTAGATCATAGTAGCACCTAGTAGAAGATTTGTAGATCATAGTAGCACCTAGTAGAAGATTTGTAGATCATAGTAGCACCTAGTAGAAGATTTGTAGATCATAGTAGCACCTAGTAGAAGATTTGTAGATCATAGTAGCACCTAGTAGAAGATTTGTAGATCATAGTAGCACCTAGTAGAAGATTTGTAGTTCATAGTAGCACCTAGTAGAAGATTTGTAGATCATAGTAGCACCTAGTAGAAGATTTGTAGATCATAGTAGCATCTAGTAGAAGATTTGTAGATCGTAGTAGCACCAAGTAGAAGATTTGTAGTTCATAGTAGCACCTAGTAGAAGATTTGTAGTTCATAGTAGCATCTAGTAGAAGATTAAAGATTTGTAGAAGCATTTGTAGAAGCACTGCACTGAAATCTTGAGCACTGAAATCACTGCACAGTGCACAGTGCACTGAAATCTTGAGTTTTTTCGAAGAAACGCTTTCGAAGTAAAATAGAGAAAGCAAAAATTAAGTAAGTGCGTTAGGAAGGGTACGTTTACAACTTTTGAGCAAAAAGTACACAAAAAGTAAATTGTTCTGAGGGGGTACTTTGTGCTGGCAGATTCGTAAACACATCCTTTCTGGCATACGAAACTTGACATTAAATCTTTGGCGTCTCTGTGCTTAAAGTAAAGAAGTATTCAATGCACTAGAAAAGTATTTAAAGTATTCAATGCGCTAGAAAGGATGCTTTTAGATTTGAAGAGCAAAGTACATTGCAGAAAGCAAAAAGTTCACTAAACCTTGCACAACCTTACCTTCACTAACCTTCACCAACAAACCGTACTTTCTAGCACAAAGAGTTCTCATTTTTCTCAGGACACTTCAGAAAGAAAGTTGAGGAATTAAGTGCGTGAGAAAGAGTGTGTTTTTAAGCTAAAAGCTCACTTGAAAGACTATTCAAAAATTTAACTGAATATCTTTTTTAGATTCTCTTCGCTATTCTTTATTCAATCGTTTGGGTGGCAGCGATTGTCGGGAATTCTTTAGTTCTTTACGTTGTCGTCTTCAGGCAGGTACGGGTAAATATTAACAAGAAGTTATGCAATCTTTTCTATCTTTTATGTATATATGTCGTAGCCGCTAACGAAATTCAGCCGCTAACGAATGATTCGTTAACGGCTAGCCGCTAACGAATGAAATTTTTCGCTAGCCGTTTACGAATGATTCGTTAGCGGCTAGCCGATTACGAATGAAATTTTTTCACTAGATGTGTACGAAATCTTTGTACCCTAAAGTCGCGAGTATAAGTTCTGTAATTTACATCTAAAGGGCTCTGATGGAAAATTTTCTTCTTTCTTTAATTTTTATTGTTTTTTTGTTTTTTTTTTCATTTTTTATTTTACTAACTTTTTTTCATTTTAGATACGATGAGGAGAAAGTCGTACACCGCCGAAACGAAGCTCGAAGCGGTCAAATTTGCGAGAAAATTTGGAACGAACGCGGCTGCGATCGAATTTGAAGTCGCCGAACAGATGATTAACCGCTGGAAACAAGCTGAGCCGGCACTGATGACTTCACCAAAAAATAATCGAGCTTTCCGAGGATTGAGGGCAAAATGGCCGGATGTGGAGAAAGATCTGAAGGCATGGGTTCTGGAGAGGCGATTCACCGATGCTCATTTTCAAGCGCAAGACTCTTCCTAAAGGAATTTTTCCCGGTGTGATCATCAAAGCTAATCCGACAGGGTGGATGAATTCGGACTTGATCAAGGAGTGGATCGATGAAATTTGGTTGCGAAGAGCAAATCTGGTGGCCAAATCCGAAGAATCAGTGCTCGTGTTGGACTCAGCTCGCTGTCACTTAACCGATAATGTCAAGGCTGAAATTCAGCAACACTCGAAGCTGGCTGTGATTCCAGGAGGGCTAACTCGATTTCTACAACCGCTTGACATCAGCGTCAATAAGCCATTCTGAAATTGGGTCAATATGTTGCGGTCAATATGTCAATATGTTGCGAACGCGTATCAAATTCTGAAAAAGCGAACGCATATACTAACGACGAAAAAATACGATGAAATTGTGAACATATTGACAACAATGTCATAACAACAATGTTATAAATGTTAAATGTTATAAATTTTATTTCACTCGTTGTGATTAGTTTGCTGATTTGCGTTTTGCATAAATAGTTTGAAATCAAAGACTAATTTGAATTGAGCCATGTTCGCAGAAGCCGATTACAAATCGTGCACGGCTAGCAAAAAAATTTCATTCGTAATCGGCTAGCCGATTACGAATGATTCGTCAGCGGCTAGCCGTTAACGAATGATTCGTCAGCGGCTAGCCGTTAACGAATGATTCGTTAGCGGCTGAATTTCGTTAGCGGCTACGACATATATATATCGTAGCCGTTTACAAAATTCAGCCGCTAACGAATGAAATTTTTCGCTAGCCGCTAGCGAATCGTTCGTAAACGGCTAGCCGATTACGAATCATTCGTTAACGGCTGAATTTCGTAAACGGCTACGACATATATATAATATTTTTAATCTATAGTATTCAAATATTATTCTATTCTTTCAAATTTTTATATAAATAAGTCAAAAATTTTGGATTTTTAGGTTTCCCTCTCGGTTCGCTCGGTGTTTCTTGGGTGTTTAGCGGTGTCTGACTTGTTGATGAGGTGATTTTAAAGAGAAATCTTTTTGAAAATACATTTAGATATCTATTTTATCTATAGATTTATTTAAATTCGAGAAAAATTCATTAAAAATAACCAATTTTAAGCTCTTGATGAAAATTAGAAAATTTGGTGTACTTTAGGTGAATAGAAACTCCAAGAAATTAACCTTTTAACATAAATGGTTAGGGATTTTAGATTTCAATTTAGAATTTAGAATTTATAGTTATAGATATCTTAAAGATAAATTTAAATAGATATCTTAAGGATTAAGAATTTAAAAGTTTTAGTTTAACTTCTTTACCGATCACTGCTGTGGTCACTTTCACGCGCGTCTGGGTCTTCCCTGCTTTTCTCTGCAATTTAATCGGCGTCTTTCAGGTGAGATTTATTCATAAAAATTTGTAGATCTCTTTTTAAATGATTTTCTTTTAGGGTGGCAGCATTTTTGTCTCCTCATTCACCCTCACCGCCATCGCCATTGATCGATGCATTTTCATTTTGAAACCGAATCGAGAGGTAAATGAATAGAAAGTGATTTTAAAAATTAAGACTTTACTTGAATTTAATTCTTAAATTTAATTGCTAACAGCTCTTGAATGGAAAAGCTATCATAAAAGATGCGCTTGGGAAAGATTATAGAACATTTGATTCGCCTCCCCCTTTTCCCATTGGCAATCTAACTTTAAGCTCAAATTTCTTAGTGTTCGACTGGTTAAAATTTCAATATTTTTAGTATCATTAGATTCTCCAATTCTTTCTCTATCGATTGTTACAAAAACATATTTAAATTAAACAGCTGAACAGCAAGAAATTTGAGTTCAAAGTTTGCTAGTTTGGGAAAAGAGCGCGTATAAAATTTCTCAATCTTTCTCAAGCGCATCTTTTAGAAATCATTTTCGGTAGCTTTTTTCGAAGCCCTTAAATTTGCTGATTTTTTTTGTATAAATTTCGTCTTTAAAGCAGTGAGATTGCTAAATTTTACCTAATTTCCTTACCAGTTTCAATGCAAATGCAATCCAAATTATTTCTAATCTTTTAAGAATAAACGCTTTTTACTAACCAATTTCTTTTTTTAGGTGATCGGCTTTTCCCGTGCCGTCCCAACTGTTTTTCTCATTTGGTTATGGGGTTACATGTTGGCATTTCCGGTTGGACTTTTCTCGAAAACTACTTCATTCCTTGGATATTGCGGGGAATTTTGCGAGGAAACATGGTAAAAATTCAAATGAATAGCTGAATTGCTTTTAAAATCAATGTATTCTAGGCCAGACGAAGATGCGGATGGTTTCTCGAAAATTCGTCGACTTTATGGGATCACTGTGTTGTTGCTACAATTCGGCATTCCTACCGTAATCTCGTCGGTAAGTCAGCTTGAACAGTTCAAGGACAATAGTTTGACCAGTTAGCTTTTCTAAAAAGCTTTTCCGTATCTGTTAGTTTTTTTAAAAAGTGCTTAGGAGCTGACCTTAAAAAGACAGCCAAGGTACAATAACTTTTGCCTAAGTGCATCTTTTAATAGCTAGCTTACGGTAAAAAGTACGAGACATAACGGTTTACGGGAAGTACGGTAACTTTTTGCCAAGCTCATCTTTTATAAACTGTTTCTGGAGAGCATATAGCCATAGACTTATGGGATTGGAGGGAATAGATAGCCAACGATGGGCCCCAGCACTCTTGTCACCGTGGTGCAGTCGGAAGGGCGCTGGTCTACAACCCACACGATCCGGGTTCGAGCCCCCGTAGTGCCGCTCAATTTTCGATTTTTTGACAAACACTGCTCTTTTATATATTGTACAATTCCAAATCTTCAGCTCTGTTACTACATGATTTCGCGAGTGATGAATTGTCAATTGGAAAAGCGGAGAGGGCAAAAGTTGTTGCCCGATCGAGAGGTGCAACTCGTTTCGCGGAAAACGAGAGCAAATAGGTAGGCCATGATGGGAAATAAGTCATATGCAGATTCTTTATATGCAAATTTATGTATTGAAAATGATAGAATACTAGCTAAATCTTTCAGGATGATGATTTCAATGGTCGGGGGTTTAGTGTTAGCGTGGATGCCGCTGAACGTCATGAACTTGTTGCGGGATTTCTTTCAATTTGGTGCGTAATTAGAAAAACTAAATCTCCAATAAGCTACATAGGCTTATGTATATTCTAAAAACAGTCAAACTTCGGCCTAACAAATTGCTCAGGATCGAAAACTTCGATATAATGAACCTTAAAAAGTGTCTCAAACGTTTTCTGTGTAGCTGCTCTGGACGATCACTGATTGCATTTTGCTGGGGCAGCTACGCAGAAATTTTGGGCACCTCTTAGAATTTCAAATTCGTTATTTCAAAAGTTTTTTATATCGAAATTCGAATTTATTTAAATATTTAAGTAATGTGAGTTTTTTTTAAAGTTTAAATAAGTAAATTTAACTCTTTAATTTAATTTAAAAAATTTAGGCGGTACAACGCCGTGGTTCTCGACGGTTTTCGCTTTGTGTCATGTAGTGGCGATGACGTCAGCCGTTTGGAATCCATTGATATATTCATGGTAATGTGAATTGTTCAAATCAAGATCTAAACTAACAAAAAAACACATAAGATACGATAGCTTTTCCATAGCATCTTTTAGCTTTAACAAAAAAAACAATTTCTCTTTCAGGTTCAACCCTCAATTCCGAACGGCGATAAAGGGAATCTGGGATGAGCAGCGACGGAAGAATTGTCGAAGTGACAATAGTGAGGTGAATGGGGAAAAGAATCGGAAACGAGGCAAATAGATACAAAAAGTTCGACGTAATGTGCACATTTTGAAAGAGCATTTACCCTTAATGCTTGCAAAATTCACAAATTAGAGGTTTTGCTTGTAAGATATGGGGAAATAAACCCCGCCAATCGATTCTCCGACCCTGAAAACCCCTGGGTTTACAGCTGAATATCTTTTTTACAATTTACGGCTGAATATCTTTTTATATCATCATTAAAGCAAAAGAAGAATCTGTGTAAATGCCTGGCGAAATGTTCTTTGTGCGGCCGGGCAATCGCTCGTCGTCTGGCACACGCCCCCTATAGATAGGTGCTCCCTTTTGGATTCTCTAAACTAAGTGACTGGGCCATTTTCTGCTTGTTTTCCCCGTCACTATGCCAATTTTTTTTTTTATTTGAGAAATCCCCTCAAACTTGTTTATATTTTTCAACAAAATTTGGAGCAGAATCCAGATAAAATCAAAAATTTCCCGGCTTTCCCTCATTTCCGTCATTTTTTCAGGTTCTCAACATGAAAACGGAGATCCGACTAAAAAGCGAGTACACTTTTCGGCCATCCGACGACAATCAGCTTTGAAATTTTTTTAAAAAACAAATTCAAAGTCAATTCTGATATATTAAAATTTACGTTTATATATGTTACGTCCGAATCTGAGGAGATTCATTCTTCTCTGAAACAGACGTCCGACTCAGAGATGAACGTTCGACTCTGAGTCGGACGTCCGTTTCGGAGGAGAATTGCCAAACTATTTGTTCTCAAGATCGGACGTCCGATTCCGAGAAGAATGATCATTCTCCTCCGAAACGGACGTCCGACTCAGAGTCGGACGTCTATCTCAGAGTCGGACGTCCGGATCGGAGATGGACGTCTCCTCAGATTCGGACGTAACATATATACAAAAAAAAAAATGAAAATCTCTTCATTTTGATTTTTGATTTGAATTTTTTTGATTTCCCGATACGAGTCCCCGATTATTTTTGCATCAATAAATGCCTAGGTGTTCAAAAAAAAAAGTTTTCAGTTTTCAGTTTCAAATTTTCTTTCGGCAAACTTTTAAACTGAAACTTTTCCTATGAAAAATTTCGAAGATTTCTATTTCTGTGCACATTTTTTTGCTCATCACATTGACAGGGTTTTTTTTTGGATTTCAAATTCATTTTTTATTCTATTTTGCTTGGCTCAATAAATAAAATAATATGAAACAAATTGCTTTAAAAAAAATCTAATTTTTATGTACTTTGTTCTCAAAAAATGTAAACACACCCTTTCTGGCTCACTGAATTTAGCCTCTAGAAGATTCAGTGCGCCAGAAGATGTGCGTTTACAGAGTTGAGCACAAAGTACACAGAGTTTTCAAGTTATTCGGTGTCAATTTCACCCCGGAGCACTGTAACAGCTGTGCCAGTGATGGAGATTCGATCATTTTCTTCCAGAGTCACATCGAATTGAGCGCCCCGACCTGGGTAGGCTTGGAGGCCTGAAATCAGCAGGAAATATGTATTGCTGAAATAAAAAGACTAGCACTTCGAGAGACAACTTTAGCCTGGATCAACCAGAAGCAAAGCCTGGATCTGGCTCTGAACTGGCTCTGACCTGGCTCCGACCTGGCTCTGACCTGGTCCTGACCTGGTTCTGACCTGGCTCTGACTTGGCTCTGAACTGGCCTTGCTACACTCCTTCTTCAACTCTTCTTGCTCAAATTTTTCTTTACTGTAGCTTGAAATTGATTACTATAATAGAATCAAGAAAGAAAGCTTAAAGCTTAAGCTTAAAAGAGCTTAAGAAAGCTTAAGAAAAGCTTAAGAAAGCTTAAGAAAGCTTAAGAGAGCTTAAGAAAAGCTTAAGAAAAGCTTAAATCCTTTCCTCTCATTCACTCACCATACAATTGTTTCCTCTCGAAAACCCGAGCCCAAAACGGTCCGAGCGCGCATTGAGCCGAGCCTGAAATTGGGCTCTTGATTACAGCGACTTTGATAATAATGATAGAAACATTAATAAAGATTCAGAATCACATCAAAGTAGTGAAGGAATTGGTAAAAAGTAGATTTCCGGAGAGGGGATTGCTTTTGCTTTTGCTTTCCCGGTAATTTCCCTAACCACTGAGCTATCCAGAAACTTGGAAAGAGAAAGAGGGAAAGACAATTGTTTCCTCTTGAGTTCAAATCCTCATTAATTATCCTGATACTTACCAGTGGCTGGATCTTCAGCAATGCCGACCCAAGGTGCGAAATATCGACAAACGTAGTCGAACGGTCGACCATTCACATCAACGAAACCCTGGATAAGTCTCTCAATCTTTTAGTAAATAGATTTTGGATCCTTTTTCAAATTCCCCTTCGGGCATTTGAAGGAAAACTTGGCTTTAACTTAGAGCTTTAACCTTTAACCTCGTAGTAAAACCTTGAAGTAAAACCTCCATCATTGAGGTCTTTTAAATCAGTTCATTGCTGGGTAAAGTACTAGCAATCGTTTACTAACAATACAGTACCTATTCTTGATTTAACAATCTAATCCTAGCATATTTGAGCACCTGTTTCTCTGGATTTTTCGGCGCCATTGTGACAATGACTCCTCGCACAGTGCATCCCTCGGGATGAATCTCGATTAATGGGTGATTTTTGTGAATTGTTGCAAATTCGGCACTAAAATTGAAACCCTAATCTATTTAATCGATTCTAGAGACTAAAAAATAAACTCAATCATTAAAATAAACAAACTTTCTTTACCTTGTTGTCTCCGAGTCGAGCACGATCAATAATTTCTTTGCTTTTATGCCAATAGTCACTCCGATCACTTTCAAATTTTCAGGGATTAACTCCTAAATGGTTATGAATATAAATATTAAATTGTTAGATAGATTACCTTAACTATTGCTTGAAACATAGCTAAATTTCCCTCAGTAAACTCGGGAAAAAGTTGTTTAAATGGAGAGTCGAGATTTGAGAGGGGAATGTAGGAGATCTAAAAAATGACCAAATTTATGAGAATTTTTATTATTTTATCTATTATTTTACAGAAAATATACTTGGTTTCCATTTAAAACTGAAATTAACATTAATAAAAATTCTGTTAATCTAATAAAATGAATGGGAAAAGAGTCGAAAGTATTTGGTGTGTGAAAAAGTAATCCACGTTTTTTATTTTTATCTGATGACCAAATAAGACGCTGTCTTCTCTAAAACCCTCGTTCAACCTCTTCAGAAATAGGCCTTACATTAAATTGTGATGGGTCAACCGCAAGGAAACGCTTGAATGCCATGAATTTTATCAAAAAGTTGGATACCACATGAACGATAACGCGCGATCACATGTCTCTTTACAGACTCGACAAAAAAATCCAGAGTGTTGGATGGAAGGTTTTACCACATCCACCTTATAGTCCAGACCTTTCTCCATCTGATTATTATTTATTTTTGTCTCTGTCTAACTTTTTGGTCAATAAACGGTTCTATTCCGAAGAAGATGTCAAAACCGAGGTTGATCTTTTCTTCGCCTCTACGGACCAAGACTTTTTATTATCGTGGAATGTTTTTACTTGTAGAACGTTGGCAAAAGGTTGTTCTTTCGAATGGTGATTACTTCGTTGAATAAAAATTATTTTAACGAAACTTATGGTCTTTTATATTTAAACGTTAATAGTTCTAATAGTTCTAGCAAGTATTTGCGCTTCTTTTCCCGACATTTTAATAATTCTTTTTCTTTATAGATAAGTTTTTAGCAATAAAATTTTAATCTTTATTTAATCTTTATTTAATTTTTATTTAAAACTTGCACTATATTGTGGGAAATCCATGACAACTCGCTGGGGATCGGCTTTTTTAACGATAAGATCCCCGGAGAGGGTACGGAAAGTGAGTGACGCGTTGGCGTTGCCTGAATGTTTTCACTTTACTAGCGATCGATGTTTGTTTACTGTCTATTTTCTTGATCTTCTTTCCTTTTTATAACACATTTTTCATTGATTTTCAATATCTAAATCGTTTTTTTTTAATGGATTCAAATTTCCGATTTAAATCCGTTTGAAATTTGTATGTAAAAAAGCCAGATTTTGTGCTGTTTGTCTGCGTATCAAGCGATCAGACAGTATCTAGCGATCAGACAGTATCTAGCGATCAGACAGTATCTAGCGATCAGACAGTATCTAGCGATCAGACAGTATCTAGCGATCAGACAGTATCTAGCGATCAGACAGTATCTAGCGATCAGACAGTATCTAGCGATCAGACAGTATCTAGCGAGCTTATGCTCCTCGGAAACAGCCGAGTGGTAAGTGCACTAGGTTCTCAACCTGCTAGCCCTGGTTCGAGCCCGGACTTGAGTGAAACTTTTCAGTGCTCAGTGCTTTTTCAGTACCTTCTTTTTGAAAAGATAATATGAGATAATCCAATTGACTTCTTTAGCTTTCTTTAATGAATCTAGAATATAAAATTTTCTATAATACCAATTTCATAAAACAAAACGTGAGATGTGGCAAGAGTGGCATGACCGCAGAGAGGTACTTCATCCGTTGGAGTGAACCAACGAAGGGAGAATAGGGAGCCTAAAAAGAAGAAATTAAGTGTGCCAGAAAAGATTTGCATTCATCCAAAAAATCATTGGGTTTAAAGTTACCAGTCTTGAAGTCTTTCCCTTCTTCTAAAGACACCGGATAGGTTGTTTCGGAGAGATTGAACTCGGCGGCGATTCTTTGATATTCCTGATCGGCTAGTTTCTAGAAATTGTACTCTTTTGGTAATTGAATGGAAAGTTAACAGTGATTAAATAAATAATGATTATCTTTCAAAATATTCCTTTTACCTTTTCAAAAAGACAAACAGCTGCCTGATTTCCGGCAAATTTCGTGTTGGTGAAGGCATCGATGAGGAAAGCGGGACGCTTCATTGATCTCAAAAAGATAACTGATAACTGATAACTTTTCTGATCTGAAACTAAAACGCTTCCACACTTTATCATTTTCCGAAAATCGTTACCAAATTCGGAATCTCCTACCTCGATTCTATCTACAGAAAAATTTCCAGCTTAATCGGTTCAAGGAGAGCTGAGAAATTGACGATTGAAAGTCCCCTAGGCTCTCTAAAGGAAACTGCGAAAAAAAGACACTATTTTTGGGGGGCTTAGACGTGGGGCGTCGTGGCGGGCACTTGTGAGCCAGCTTCTTGGCCGCCAGGTGTGGAGGAAAGGGTAAAGGGAAACACGGGATCGGGCGGGCTCCTGGCCGACGACCGAACGTGCGCACCAAGCGGCACCTCGTCAGAGGGTGCGCCTCAACGGGAGCAGTCTTGGGCGGTCAAGGACTATGGTATGGTCAGCCCGAAGGGAAGTAAGCTATAGGCTATAGCCGACGCCCGAACGTCCACACCAAGCGGTACGTCTGCTTCCCCGAAAGGGGAGCAGTCTCAGACCCGAAACTAGGAGGGAATTCTAGAAATTCTAGAAGAGAGCCGAAAGACCCAAAAGAGAGCAGGTCCTCGCGTGTCACAGTGATGGGATAGCGTTCGGAGGTTGGGGGAACGGCTCCGCCCGGCGGTACCCGATCCTGCACACCCCAAATTTCTGGAGAAATTTGGATCAAAGATTTATTTTAGCGGAAAAATAATGATAAGGAACTAGCTGCCCAATAAATGGGAAAATATCATACTTGCAAATGGTCAATAAATAGGAGGCGTGGTTTTTAAGAAATTCTAGTGCAAAAAGGGGGGACAAGACTTTCTCGTTAACCTGATAAATGCAAATATAGATCTAATGGTGGGTATAAAAGGCATAAGTATCCAAAAATCTATCTAAAATATAAATTAATGTATGAAGAAACAATAGAAAGCTTCTTCTAAAGAAAATTTAATTAAAAATTTGTAAATCTGTGAAACGCTAAAAATGTTCGAAAGAAAAGCCACTTTTATTTTCTTTTCGGCGTAATTTCGTTGAATTTCTTCTCTTTGAGCAAAAATCGTGATTTGATAAGGAAAGAGATAAGATCACACAATGATCCATCAAAAAAAAAAAAGAAAGGCTGTAATTAGTCATGTAATCTTTTCAAAAAAACAAATAATATTGAATGGAATGAGAAAAATGAAGTTTTCATTGCTTTTTTTTGTTCTAGTTTCTAGTTTGTAGTAAAGTCAAAGCTTTGGCAATCTCACGAATAATTTCCGATCAACCGTGATGCCGACGATTCGATCGATTTCACCATTTTGTCGCTTTGAAAAGCTTTGCCGCCATTTTGAAAAGCTATGCCGCTTTGCCGCTTTGAAAAGCAGCGCTTTATCGAAAAGTTTCCAACCAAAAAAGCTCAATAAACAATAAAAATCAAATTTCAAAACTCTCTTCGATTTCTTTCATCCCATTATCACAAAAAATTTCACGAAAGTTTCGGCTGATCGGAAATGATTCGTGATATTGCCAAAGCTTTGACTTTACTACAAACTAGAAACTAACAAAAAAAACCCTCTCAATCACCTCTCACTACACATTTTTTACAAGAACAATACAGAAATTGTGTATTTCTCCTAGAGAAGCGATCGCTGATACGAAAATCCAATCCAGCCAGAATTTTCTCAAAATTTCCAACAAGTTTATGCCAAAGTTGATCAAATTCGTCCATTCGAATAACTAGAAGCTTAACGTTTTGATTTTTCGATGAAATCCCGTTAGTTTGTAGTAAAGTCAAAGCTTTGGCAATATCACGAATCATTTCTTGAACATTGTAAATGTACTCAAAAACGGGATTTCATCGAAAAATCAAAACGCTAAGCTTCTAGTTATTCGCAGATATCGTAGAAATGGAACACTTTCGCCAATAAATCTAGAAATGTTAATAGCTGATGAAATGAACAAACAAACAAACAAACAAACAAACAAACAAACAAACAAACAAACAAATGAACAAAAGTTTTCTAAACCGGAAGAAAAAAGTCTAGTCAAAACAAAACTTGTACATTTTATAGGAAAATTTGGCTTTGATCTGGCTGTAGTTTTAGATCCAGTTTTAGATTAGAAAGCATATCAAGATCAAGTTGATTTTTTTAAATCCCATACCCATAGCTGATGAGATCAAGCTTGCAAGCATTGATTTCTTTTCCACGAAACCCTCTCCCCTTCATTTTTCATTTGATAAGGCGAAAGTGTGCTCATTAAATGCCTTTCTTTCAATCCATTTCAGTCGTTTTTCCAGTGATTTCCCATCCAGCTTCTGCTTTTTCCTTTATGAATCTTAAAAATTGCTTAGATCGTTAAGATCGTGATGCTATGAATATGCTTAGATCGTTAAGATTCCTAGGGTGAAAAGCAAAATTTTGTCTGGCAACATGCAACCAAAGAAGATTTAAAGCATTTTAGAACTTATCAGTTTGCTTAATTTCTATTTAAATATTAATTTATAGATATTTTATTAAAGAAATCGAATAAAATGTAAACAACTAACAATCACTTTTTAGAGATTTTTAGAAACACACTCGCTGTTTGCCTTTCGTTTGACTTTTGTGTACTTTGTATTATAAGTTGTAAACGTTCCCGTCCTGGCGCATCAAATTTCGCATCTTTCTTGCTGAAACCAGTGCAGAAATAACGATTTAAATGCGCCAGAAGGTTTACGTTTAGCTTTTCAGTTTAGCTTTTCGAGCTCAAAGTGCATAAAGGTTAAACGAGAGGCGTCTGGCGAGATTGGATATTTGTCAGATTGTATATGTTTGCAACTTCTTGAGCACAAAGTACATTATTGCCTCATTTATTACCTTATAGTATTTGAATACTTTTCCAAATCCGATCATCAAAAAGTGTTCCTTTTTTCCCCTGAGCATCCCCGATTTTCGACTCATCCCATGATTTCCCCGTGACTCATTTATCAAAACATTCATCTAAACGAATCTTTCTTGATTCAAATTTAGCCAAATTTATTGTTCTTTTCATAATAAATAATAGCTTTCTTCACATTTTCTTATAAACAATAAACAAGATGATTTGTTCTGTATCCACTAGCCCATCGAAGCAGTGGTTAGGGAAACGTGTGACGGCCTCATAAGGAGCTCGAAATTTAACGTGATTTCCTATACCAAATGTCTCGCGTTTGCAAAGCGTTCTGTAAAAACTAAAAACGGATTCGAGATCCCCATGGCCGACTCTATAAGATGGACTTTGTCTCGAGTCAAAAAGCCAGCTTTGTCTCGAGTCAAAAGGCCAGCTTTGTCTCGAGTCAAAAGGCCAGCTTGTCTCGAGTCAAAAGTCAAGTCAAGGCCAGCTTGACTCGGTGTCTTTCCCATGTCAGCCTCACCCGTGGCTGCTGTGCCAAATGAATCATTTTAGCGACAAATTTTCGCAAACATTCTTTAGCTACTTTCACTCATTGTTTATTGAGAATGAATTGTGTTGAAAGGTTGCCGATGAAAACAAAAATAAAGGAAAGAGAGAGGTCATCTCAATCCAAATCTCCGATCAAATCTCCTCCCATTCACCCCCGACAAAGAGGCCATCATCCACACCATCAATAAACCTTTAATAAACCTTTAATAAACCTAATTTTCATAAAATTATGCAAAACAAAATCATTTAAGTATTTAAAAACTTGATAAAGCTTACGAGATTGATTCGTTTTTTAGTAAATTTGATTTGTCTGCAACAAAAAGGCCTTGTCTGCTTTGTCTGCTTTTTATTTAGAGTTTGGCTACAATAAGATTAAAATAAAATCTAATTTTCATATTCTTCATTGATCGTTTTAGATACAAATTAATTATGAAATCTAAGAGAATTTCATTTTCTATAGAAAAAAAAATTTGGTGCAAAGCCCGTTTTGCTACAAAGCAAGATAATTTCTTGTTTTAATTGTTTTATTGGTTGGAGGATGAGTTGATTGGTTCGAGCAGTTTGAATTGTTTCATTGGTTGGAGGAGGTTGGAGGAGGTTGGAGGAGGTCGAGATTCGACCTTTTCCTAGAAAACGATTATTTTGTTGTAACCAAGTACAGACAAATGGTTTTTTTTGGATTTCAAAGCATTTTCTTCCTTTTCAACTGGCCATTTTGGGGTAATGAAAATAAAAGAAATTGAAAAAACGATTTTTAAATATCTTCTTTCCAATCCATTTTAAGTATTCACGAAATTTTCTTCATTTTTTCACTTTGTTTTGTTTTGTTTTTTTCTGATGAAGGGCTAGGCGCGAAAAGTTTTTGAACGCTGTTCCCATTCTCTTTTTGGCCGATTTTTGGCCGACCATCACAACCACATTTTTCTGCGTAATTTTCTCATCAAAAGATTTTCTCATTATTTATTTTTATTTATTTATTTCAATCCAATAGTTTGTTGTTGTTGTTTTTTTTTAAACGAAAACGCGAATCTTGTCAAGCTGATATTTTCTGTGCCAGAAAACTTTGCAGTTTTGATAATTAGCAGATGATTGTTCAAGAGTTTTTCCCCAGGTAAAGCAGTATTGAAATCAAAGGTAAAGCAGTATTGAAACCTTTTGAAGAAAGTGCTTAACCTGGGACATCTCCAGCCCTCCATTTAATGCATTGGATTTAAAAATCTTTTATATAAAAGATGTAAAAGATTTCTTATCTCTCAAAGATCAAACGTGTTCATTGTTTGCAAAAAAACGGAAGTTTTAACTTTTCTTATGAAAAGTTGAACTGAAACAAGTGAGCAACGAGGATTTGGGAAGGAGAAAGGGAAAGATTATCTTTATGAAATTGAACAGCTGACGATTGGCTCAAATTCTAAGCAGAAAGAAAGAAAGGAAGACAGAAAGAAAGAGAGAGAGAAAGAAAGAAAGAAAGAAAGAAAGAAAGAAAGAAAGAAAGAAAGCTTTTACTCATTCGTGGAACGTTCAACTGTTTCAAAAAGATCATGATTTTCCATTTAATCAAATGTTCCAATCAATCAAATGTTAACATAAAC